TGTTCCTAAATTCCTCTTGGCAGGTGTCAATAACAAGTATTTGTTTTCTCTGCTTGTATATCACATCCAGACGATACCTCTAAGAACAAAGTAGTAGTGTTCTTTGAAAATGTTTGGGAACAACTAGATGGGATTTGAGGAAAATGTTTCAAAGTGGCTTGTGGTTGGACTTCGTTGTCACTTTGTATCTCCCAAACAGGTAACAATTGAATTGTTCACAAACAAATTCAATTGCCAGATGCTTCTTTTCCTCCTCAATTTGAATGTAGTGCAGTTCAGTTTACGTTCATGACCTGAAAGCAAATGCAATTTATTATCTTTGCTGCATAATGGTTACTCCAAATCCTATCTAACTGGTATCACATTGCAAGTTGACGTCATCATTGATGTTGTAATATCTCAACACTGGTACTAGTGGCTTGATTCCATTTCTGTTTTACGCTGTGCGCCCAGTACACTGGATGCCCTTAACACTGAGGTAACACAGGGGCTAACATTCTGATTACAGATTAGTCAAAAACTTTACTAAATAATTAAAAAATCCCACAAATCATTGCACTTTTTTGACTAATTTGTAGCAAGGTGGCTTTTTGTAGCACGGTGGCTCAGTGGTTAGCACTGCAGCCTCACAGCACCAGGGACCCGGGTTCGATTCCATCCTCGGGCAACTGTCTGTGTGGAGTTTGCACATTCTCCCTGTGTCTGCGTGGGTTTCCTCCGGGTGCTCTGGTTTCCTCCCACAGTCCAAAGATGTGCAGGCTAGGTTGATTGGCCATGCTAAATTGCCCATAGTATTCAGGGAGGTGTAGGTTAGGTGGGTTATGGGGGGTGGGATGCTCTGAGGTTCGGTGTGGACTTGTTGGGCCGAAGGGCCTGTTTCCACACTGTAGGGATTCTATGATTCTAAGGATCCGAAAAAGCATAATATTGGATTTGAAATATTGTCTTTGTTCTCTCTCAGCTGGCCAGACCTGCCAAGTTTCTTCAGCACTTTCTATGATAGTAATACTGACAAGTCATTCTGCATCATACAACTGGCTTGGCATAATCAGGTGATAAATGGTTAGATGTCCACAAAGGGAGGGCAAGAGCACGAGCTTTGTAGGCCTGTGAAGTGAATCATCAGAACTTTTAAGCGACTCTTGGATAGGCACATGAAGGATAGTAAAATGTAGGGTATGCGGGGTAGTTTGATTTTAGTAGGATAATAAGTTGGTACAACATCGTGGGCCAAAGGGCCTGTACTGTGCTGTACTGTTCTATGTTCTATGTTCTAGAACCATCAGCTGACATATCTCCAGCAACCATCATTATAGCCTTCTTTTGCTTCTTACTGGCTAAGCATTAGAGTGCAATGTGATTCAGCATCTTGCAGATAAAGCACTGTTTTTTCTCACATTGGACATGCTTTTCTTTCTCTTATATGATGTTCTCAACAATATATATCCTGCCTCTGGCCTTGATATTTTTGCTCGCTGTTCTGCAAACGTATGCTACTTTTCTCCAATCTACTGCTCTCATTTGGCCTGGAATGTCTCTCAGCATAATGTGAAGACACATTAATTCTTCTATCAATTATGTTCTTGCTTATGATTGACAATCTCACAGCTTCTTTTAGAGTAAGTTTCTCATTGCTCTCACATCAGGATCTCTAACGCGGAAGACAATCCCATCTCTGGTGAGATGATCTTTTACTTTACTCAGGATTCAGCTAAGTCTATCAGTGTGATCACATACTGATCAATAGTCTCCCCCTCCACTTGAAACTCCCATGTTGAGCCAGTACCGTAAGCAATATTAATATGGGGTTCAAGGTGTGACTTCAAAAACTACAAACTCTCTCCTATCTGGCAGTGCTACTTCTCTGAGATTTAGGCTGCAACACAGCTTGTAGTTCTTTCTCCAGCACTCACAACAAGAATAAAACAATTATTTGCTCATTCTTTTTTACTTAATTCTGTAGCTGTTCCATAGTTTTAACACAGAATGTAGGAAAAAAAATCAATTCTATCTCAGTCTTCCTTTCCTTCCCAGACCAGCAGAGAATGGAAAATGATTTCAATTTTGACTCATCCAGCAATTCAGAGTTACAGACTGCTTTCCCAATAACTTTTGCATTCAGTAAGTCACAGAATCGCAGAAGTATTACCGCACAGAAGGAAGACATTCGGCCCATTATATCTTCAAATGAGTATCATTACCAACTGCTAATTTATTGTGTTTTCTCCATGCCCTTATATTTTATTTCTTTTCAAATGAACATCCAATTCCCTCTTGAAAGCCTCAATTGAACCTGTCTCCATCATACTTCCAGGCAATGCATTCTACATATTCACTGCATGAAAATATTTTCTGTTGTATTACTTCTGATCCTGTTGCAAATCACTTTAAATATCTCCCCCCACCCCCGCCAGCTCTCTTGAATTTCAGAAAATCCATATGATTTCAGCTGCCCTATTACTGACACCATGTTTCAAGTGATGTGTTTTTAATAGCTACTGCAGAAGGCATTCAGAGTTAGAGTTACGCTTAGAGTTCAAATGGCTATGGCACGCCAGCCAGCATATCAATTGTGATCATCTTTCCCCAACCAATCTATGCAGAATGATTCAATGGCCTGTGTACTTGACAGAGAATATGTACCTGCTATTCACGTGTTTACAGTTGATCATCTCAAATAGTGTTTTTCTTTAATAAATATATTACAGCATTTGAATAATTTTAATGCTAAAAAAAGTTATGACTCATGTGTCGAAATCACAAGACATACCATGCACTCAGCAACCCACATAACGTGGTTTCCTTTGATTCAATCCACTATAACTGAAGCTGCCATTGATACTAATACTGATAATTTCCCTTCAATTTCATCTGAATCAGAAAATCACCACCTGCCTTCAGAACCTATGAGTCCTATAAAAAGAGCAAGCAGCATATAGCCGGCCATGTTCCAACTAGTGTTGGGAATGTACAGGAAGACAGATTGTGATTTGCCAATTGGATTTGGTTTTTCGAGAATTAAGGTTCACTTACCCATGGATGCTGCCTGACCTACTGTGATTTCCAGCATTTTTTGTTTTCCCTATCTGAGTAGGTGGATTAAGATTCAAGAAACGGATAAACAAATCAGCACGCAAAATGTTTATGCTCCATCTTCAGCTTTCAGTAGTAAAATGTTAAAATTTTGAAAACCCTTTAAGTTGCAGCACAATGATTAAAATTCACATGATTGCTTCAGTCCAATGTGGAAGGTGCAAATTATTTAGGTAAAATGAGGCTTCAAGCCTATGTTATTTTTACTCAATTTAAAGATAAAATAATGTAAAATTGCTTTGAACTGTTAAATCTTTAATGCATGGAATTAAAATTTGCAATTGTCACTTCCATTCCGTGCAATGGCTGAACTCCAATTTGAAGGTCATCTGATTCAGCCTTGCATCTCTGTTCTGTGACTTACTGTTCAAGTGCTTTCCATTTGACTTTTGAATTTCATGAACCAATAAACAACATTGGGAACTAGTGCACATTAAAGTATTCCAAAATATTTTGAGATCTTACACAGGACAATAAAAAAGGAACATTCTATTTTGTTAATAAATGCCTTGTCTCACCATTGATCTATCATACTTGAACATAAATTGAAATTTTCATTCTTAATGATGCACCATGTAACACTTGATCATTTGATGTTGGAACTGTGGAGAATCTAACAGTAAAATGCTTTGAAATATTCCTGGCCACTCTTCATTGAATACAGCAGCACCTTGAAAGTCAGAGCTTCAGATGCCTGAATAGATCAGAGGGTAATTTATATTATAGACCTGTCAAGATCATTACTGTGAGCTGAAAATTTTGCCAAGTAAAGAGGCATTGTCACAGAGCACATTGGAGCAGGGCCCTCAGCTACAACTAGGAGGACAATTTCAAAATCTTTGTAATTACTTGTAAAGGCATAGAACGCAATGATCTGATAGAATATCTTTCAACTTTTGCAGGTCTGAAATGCAGAGGCATCTGGATAGCCTCTTGTATGAACTGCAAATGATTGGTAGGCTGGTATAGCAAGTAATTAGGAAAGCCAACAGAATGTTCCAATTTATTTCAAGGGGAATTGAATATAAAAGATGGGAAGTTATGCTTCAGTTATACATGGCACTGGGGAAAACACATTCAGAACACAGTGCACAGAACTGGGCACGCTATTTCAGGAAGAATTTAAGTGTATTGCAGGGCATTTGTAAAGGTTTACCAGGCTAATACCTGGAATGAAAGCATTATGTAATAAGGAAATGTTGGACAGGCTGGACCAATATACAAGGTTTAGGAAAAGAAGAGGTGACTTGATTGAAACATAAAAGATCTGGAGGGTTCTTGATAAGGTAGATCACTCCCTTTATGGGTGAATGGAAAACTAGGGATCAGTAATTAAAAATCAAAAACAAAGCTGCTGGAAAAGCTCAGCAGGTCTGGCAGCATCTGTGAATTAAAAATCAGAGTTAACATTTCGGGTCCAGTGACCCTTCCTCGGAATGCAAAATCAAGACCTATTTAAAATAGAGATTAAGCAAATATTTATCTTTCAGGGTGTTGTGAAATAAAGAAATAAGTTAAAAGTTCAACATTACAATTCTTCTCAGTATAAAGTAGTAAATAAGAAATAAAGTTAAAAGTTCAGAATTATATTCTTTAACCATGGACTCGCTGTTGCTCCATGTTAGGCTTTCCCCACAAGTGATTGATCTCTCCTCCATGGTAGGCTCAATCTGTCACTCCCCATGAGCGATCAATCTCTTTCCCGCTCTGGGATCGCGCTCTCTCCCATGCTTGGCTCAATATCTCAATCCCCATGGCTCCGCACTGCCACCTCACTACGGACTGCCATCCTGGCTCATGCAGACTGCTAGAGTCCTGCAGAATGTTCCGGGCCCCCAGCCCCTTCCACAATCCAGACCTCGAAGAAACTACAATGCTGCTGAGTGACAAAGTTCAACCTGGGCCCATCAGCCGCCTCGTGGCTGACCACCAAACTTCAGGCCCCCAGCCATTGCGATCGCCACCACTGCCTCTTCGACCGCGGTCCGTTCTAGAAGGAAAGTTGAGAAAAAAACTAAAAAAACAGAAAAAGCAAGAAAAGAAGAAAGAAAAGTGGTCGGAGTGGATGATCTCTGGCTCAGGAGCCCTAATTTTCCATCGCTTAGAATTGCTTGAAAATACCTTGTTCACTTACCTCCACAGTTATGAAATTTTAGCTAGATCCAAAATATTTGCAAAATGCCCCACTGTTCCTCAGAATAGTTACTTATATCAATTTTTTGAAATGCTGTGATAAAGTGTTACATAAATTGAAACCTTTACCTTTTGGAGGATACAAACTTGGAGACAGTATTATTAATCTATTGACCACAAGTTGCAGTTGCAGTAATGAAAACTTCATTTCAAACTTCCTATGTTGTGGCCAGAACTGTGTATATATATGTATATATGTGTGTGTGTGTGTGTATGGATATATATAATTTTTAAATGTAGAAACAGCATAATGTCTCAGCTAAATAGAGCACACAGCCATGAGTGTCTAAGAATTTATATATCTCAATTTCTACTCCATTATTTTCATAACTGTGATTTGATTCTTTGGGGATTACTTAATTAGTTAACAATTATTGTACTATATTCCTTAATGACATGGCTGAAGAAAAGATAAATTAAAAAAAGTGTCTTTTATAACCTCTACAATCCCAAAGCACCTCACAGCCAATTAAGCACTTCTTTGAAGCATAGACAGCATTTTCCTGGAGAGTAACGTGGCAGCATAAATGTGCAAGCCAAAGTAATACAAATAGCAGCAAATTTCAGTGAACAGATAGTTAGGTTTCTGTAAAGTTGATTGGAAAGTAAATGATTATCTCCGGCTCAACATCCGAGGTTAGATGGGATTTTATTTTATGTGTCCACTGATAGTGCAGAACTCCACAGCAGAAAATTAAGCAAAAATTGAATGACTTTCCTTTCTACAGCACCCTTTAAAACTTGGAAAGTCAGAAGATGCCTTATAGTCAATTAAACATTTTTGAAGTGTGATCTTATAGTATCAGCTGAAAGGTGTTAAGTTTTTGGACTGAGACTTGAACCTATACTCTTCAGATCAGAGGTGAAAGAGTTACATCTGAGCCAAAGCTGACATTTATCCCATGTTATCTGATGTTTCTTTTCATCTCTCTTGTATCTGTTTGAAATGGTTACATCTGTTTGCTTGTACTTACAAGGACTTAAATGTATATAGTACAAGACTGAACCATTGTAGTAACACATAGACTTTGAAGTTCAGATGCATAGTTTTGTTACAAAAGATGATATTTTGTGATAAAATGGCCATCATACTTTGTGCACACCCTCAGTGTCAGATGTGCTGGATGCTATCTTGGTATAGGCATTAGCACAGAGGTTAGGAACTAGAGTAGACACATTGTGATGTTGATCAGTGTGTAACACCTGAAGTCTTACAGGGGTCTGAATGATGTGGGTTATAGCAGGATATTAGGAAGAATCATGTGAGATGTCAGCTGATACATGTCTTAGTGTCAGGAGCAACACGGTGCACTTTCCCAATAGTGTTTCAGACATCGAGATGCAATTCTCACTAGGCAAGACAAAATTTCAATTATAGGGATTATTACTGTCAGCCTAACTAACTGCACTTCTTGCCTCATTAATATGCAGCCTCCTACCCTACCACACATCACGTGGAAATTAGATGTCGAGAAATCTCAACGTGGGAGTCAGAGGACGTACTTGGTAGCTCCAGTTTGCTGCTTGCTTCTAAGGATCTCCGTCTTGGACTCCTAGTACCAACATCTCAGGGCATGGTCCATGAGCAGTTACTGTACAGATTCCATGTACCACAGACCTTGGCATTGGATACTGGCCTGCCTCTCCATATTACAAATGGATATCTCCAATCCACATATAGGGTGCTTCTACATTTGAAAGCTGCACCTCAGGGTGTATTGGCAACTAGCTTTGCAATACTGCTGCAAGGGACAGGCATTCAGTTCCTGAACTGGGCCACGCTGCATCTGAGGGCTGCTCTCTTACTCTCATTCCCTGTCTTCCCTTGTCATGCCTTTTTGCGTTTTGCCCCCTCAGACAGAGCTAGATTCACAGCATTTCTGTCTTGCCTTGCCAATAAATGCAGACACAAAGCCAGGAAGCTTGGCATGGTTGGCAGCAAGCCTCAGTAAAGTCAAGGGAGACAGCCTTCAATCAGGGCTCCTGGCACTGTTAATCAAAAGCAGATTCCACTATTAATCTAGGAACTTGGACACAGGCAGTGTCAAAGCTTGGGGTGGTCAGGTTCAGGGTCTTTTTCTCAGACTCTTACTGCCCTATTGTAGTCAGTTTCCTCCTGGAACAAGAGACAGGGAGGCATTACAGAAGATGAAAGTTGGCACAACTGTTAAAGCCTCTACAGTTGGGAGAAAAATGGTAAGTTGACCCAAGTGAGAGAGTAGGCAGTAATGAAAGCATGCAGAATTACTGGTATCGATAGTCAAATGCAAGTGAGAGAAGACAGCTCTCTCTCTGCCATTGTGAGAGTGGTAGAACATGATCCATGCTGGACAATGGGTACAATAGAGTAGTTGTAAGGTACTTGAGAAAATGTGGTGGAATTACCCTGAAAGAGTGGACAAGGTCATTGATCTTTTTCCAAAAAGCTGCAATATTGTCTAGATCAATTACCAGGGGACACAGGGATTCAGAGGTTGGGGAAGATGGAGGAGGGAAGTTTAAAAGAGATTTGTGAGGCATGTTTTTCACACAAAAGGTGGTGAGTTCCTGGAACATGCTGCCAGAGGAGATGGTGGAAGCAGACACAATAGCAGCATTCAAGAAACACCTGGACAAATATATGAAGAGGAAGGAATAGAGGGATATGGATCCTGTAAGTAAAGACAGTTTTAGTTTGGAAGGGCAAAATGCGTCAGCACAGGCTTGGAGGTCCGAAGGGCCTATTCCTGTGCTGTATTGTTCTTTGTTCTTTTGTGGCTGAGTTCACACTGACCCAGGTGGCAAACTCAGATCAGGTTGACAAGATCTGATATCATGCCCTCCTGTGCTGGTCTGGGGAGAGGTTGAATTCCCCTCTCTGTAGTATGTCCAGGTGCTTATCCACAAAAATAGATACTAATTTTCTCTTACCTGCAATGTCCAGATCAAATGTCATAAACCATGCAGGGCAGCTCCAGACTAACAGTGTGTGTTTGGCTGCAGAATGATCTTTTAAAGATGGCACCAGTAACAGGGGTGCCAATCTATTCCAGGATGTCCTGGCAGTGAGCAATATTTCCGAGTATGGAGAGTGGTAGAAATGAGTTAGTATTGGATGAGAGCGTTGCTATAGGGATAGTGGTCCATGAGACAAGTTTGGGATGATAGCACCAGAAAGCTCATTAGCCTTTACGGATAGAAATCCTTTATGATACTCGATGAAATGGAAACTAAACCAACAAAAAACAAAAGATTTAGCCCATTGACTTAATGCTGGCGCTGTCATTATCAATGCTCTAACTAACAACCATTCACCATGTTGTTTGAAACTCTTCTAAGTTTGATGCCCACACTTACATCAAAGAGATGGCAGACATTCTTTAGCCAGTAGAAGGGATCCTGTTGCAATTTAGGTATTTGTTTTAATCAACCCTGTCCAGGGATATCATGACAAGCTTCTGGAGCAGATGGGACTTGAACCTGGGCCTCCTGATTCAAAGATGGGGACATTACCACTACAGCACAAGAGTCAATCTTTGTTCTGTTTTATCTGGCCAGTGCAAAGCAAGTGGAGTGCGCACATGGTTTTACCAGGATAATAGGCTTTCCATTAATGTAAGGTACCATTGACAGGGCATGATGCTTTGCAGTTGCCACATCTTAATCCTGAGATGCAGCACAATTTTAAAGGTGGCTAGTCACTGTAAGTGGAGTTAGTGTGCGACTAATCTCAACACGTCTGGATGGTGATTGACTGACAACCAGAGGGTTTTTATTCGGTGGCAATAGCTATCCACTCCATCCTGGCTGCTAACTCCACGCTGCAACCCAAGTGTCTGTGACCAGCATGTATACAATCACCACCAGGCTACCACATGAAACATCCTGGGACAGTAGCGAGGGTCCAGGAGCTATGCTTCCTCTGACAATTTTCAAGTTTTTAGTCATTCCCGAATGAGAACTACTGACCAGAGTGCATGAACCTCAGTCATAGTAGTCAGATTAATCCTCTGCATTCTGATCCTGGTAAAGCCTCAACTCTGTTCTCCAGAGATGCAGTGAACAGTTAATGAACTGGAGGAATGGGAAGAGAAGGAACGTGGAGTCAACCTGCAGGTACAGGTTTCAGACAGGCTCTCCTTGAGCATCTCACTCGACTATGGTTCCTGTGAACAAAATCTAAACTCCCTCATGTAGAACAGTCACACACTTCACCAGATTTTGTTATTAACCATCATTGCATCATCTTTACCTGAATTCTGAAGCAAAAGTTATCAAAAAAAAATTCAATTACAATTTTAACAAAAACAAAACATCTTGTATTCCATACGGAAGAATATAAAATGCTCTCCTTTCATGACCTGTGGTGTGTAAGCCTATCCTATTTCTCCTACACATTATTACTACTGTGGCTGCAGTATAGATATTGGAAACTTGTTGATTTTCATTGCGTGAATCTGTGAATGGCCTTTCAGGAGTTCTGAGTTTAGAAGAACAAGCTTTCTTAGAAGGAAAGACAGGAAAAGGCCATTATGGTCATTTACAATCTAGGTTGTCTGGCTGAGGGGTAGCAGCAGGGACCATTGGTGAAGCAGTTATTGGTGGGACCTCAAATGCTGCCATCCTCAGTCAGGACAACAACATTGCACTGCACAGAGTCATTGCCACTTCTTCAGGCAGAAACCTCTACCAACCTGGTAATCAGCTGGAACACGTATATCTACTGTCATGAGGGCTGTAGTTTGAACTTGCATGGCAACAAGTTGAGATCTCATGAACTGAGTCTGAGCTTTCAATGCAGAACTTGGTTGTTGGCTTACTTGTGCTGTAATCAGACATTGTGTCACAATTATGTCCACTCTTACTTTCATGATGATGACCATCATTTCCAGCCTGGAAAGCATTCTGTTCAAATGCCTATGCCAAGTTGTCATTGGAATGTTCTGTCTTCCTTGGCATTGAGAACAGGTTAGCTGGCAAGTCTGCCAATGCATCAGAATTTTTATTTTGACATCTTAATCAACACTTTCTCCATTAAATCATTTGAAGCAAAATATTTGTGCAATCTCACCATTCAAGAACTAACATCTGTGTTATCCCCTTTCCCTGCCCAAGCTGCAGGCTATTACTGGCCAGTGACTTACCAAATGAAGGTCTAACCTCTACAATACATTCCAAAGAATGTGCAGTGATGGTGGTTGCAATTAAGAGATTGAATAATAGTGCTTCAATGTTGTCAGCCCCTTGTTTCTCTTTCATTTCACGCTCCTAGACTACTGCCAACAAGTTGAACACACAAAAGAAGCCATGATGTGAAGATAACAGTGTTGTACTGGGGTGGACAAAGTCAGAAGTCACACAACGCCAGGTTATACTCCAACAGGTTTATTTGCAATCACAAGCTTTCAAGGTGCTCCTCCTTTATCACATGATAATGGAGCAGTACTCCAAAATCTTGTGATTGCAAATAAACCTGTTGGACCATAACCTGGTCTCGCATGACTTCTAACTTTATACGAAAGAAGAAAGGTGCAAAATTTTGTAAGGGGGAGTGGGGAAAGCAAAGACAAATCAGACCATATCTGCTGTTTAGAAATGAGAAGAGATTGTGGGATGAAGGGAATGGGAAATGTGATAAGATTAGGAATGTAGCACAATTTTCCACAGTTCACTGTTATGAAGATGTGTTAATTGAAATATGAACTTATATCATTATTGACAGAACACGTACATATGCATCTTAAACATCATGGAAAGGACATTTTGCAAAGTAAAGGACAATGCTGCATTTGAAAAGAAAAACCTGTCTAGATTGAGACACTAAGCCTTCAACATTTTCAAAGAGATTTCACAGGACCCAGGCTGTGAGTGGAAGGGAAAATATATATTAGAAGGATACTTTGACTCAAGCGACAACCTTTTTTTTCTGTCTCTGTCTCTATTTTTCTCTCTCTTCTCTGAAACCCATCTCAAATTTTCAGATTTATAAGCCCACTGGGAAGATTTAATACTATAAGTGGAATGTTCCTACAGGTAAATTCAAAATTACCTTACTATCTCCAGAACAGTGAATTGAGTCTGCCATAACTGATCCACAAAGACACCCTAGAGCCAACAGCTTGTGTGCAAAGTGACTTCCATAACAGATCAGAGTCTGGATGGTTCATGAATAATTATTTTTCCCTGAATTCAAATGTTACTTGACCAAAGTACTCAGGTAATATTCTACAGAATTTTATACTTTTTTTCCAAAGCTTGGAGATTGTGTGAATGTGTACCCAAAAGAAAGGTTATACATATTGCAGAGTTTATACGTTTTGTCACTAATCTTCACTCATGTTAATTTGTTCAAAGGATGTGGGCATCACTGGTGAGGTCAGACTTTATTAGTCATCCTTCATTGTTCTGAAGAGGCTGATGGTGAGTTACCTCTTGAACCACTGCAGTCCTTGGTGTAGGCATGTGCAAAATTCTGTAAGAAGTGAGTTCTAGATTTCTGACCCAAGAACAGTGATGGAGTGGTGATATAGTTCCAATCCAGGATAGTGTATGACTTGAACAGGAACTTGCAATTGGAGAAGTTACCATGCATTAGCTGTCCAAGTGCTTCTAGGTGGTAGAAATTGTCAGTTTGGAAGGTACTCTTGAAGGAACCTTACTGCAATGCATCTTGCAGATGGTACACACTGCTGACAGTGTGGATAAGTGATAAGAATTTGAAAGTCAAAGACAATAGATTGCAATGCTTTAGCCTGAATAGTTTTGAGCTTCTTGATTGTTGTGGCAAGTGGAAAATATTTCAGCACAAGCCTGACTCATGCTGTGTAGATGGTGGACAGGAAGATAGGAAGTGAGTTACTCTCCACAGAATTCTGAGACTTTGACATGGTATTGGAGCCAAAATTTATACACATATTTAAACAACCCATTCATGTGTTATGACACATCTCTGTTTGATTTGAACCAAGGCTGTCTGACTCAGATAGAGGAACACTACCACTGTGCCACAAAAGCATTTAGTCAGTCTCTACATGACTTACCCACTTCAAATTCTGGCCAATGATAACACTAGAGCATTGATAGTAGGATATTCGGCAATGTTAATGAAATTGAATATCGTGGGGTAAGGGTTAGATTCTCTCTTGTTGGAGATGGTCATTGTCAGGCACTCGTGTGATGTGATTTGCTGGTTGCCACATATCATCCTGAGCCTGGATGTCATCCAAGTCTCACTGCAGGTAAATATGGATTGCTGGATTGCTTTAATATATGAAGAATTGTGCATGGTGCTGAATATTGTTCACTGATGAATTACTCACCACTTGTTCTAATGGCAGGCACATGAAAATTGAATGTGGCCTACAAACTTTGAATGAACACGAGTTAATTATACAGCTCCATTCCAGAGTTTTGAAGTCACTTGACTTTTTATCCTGTAATATTTTCTGGTGTTCCCCTCAAAATAAACTGGACAATTCAACCAGGCCCTGTACCTTGTTGTCTCGGATTCTCCAGCATCTGCAGTTCCTACTATCTCTGGGCAATTCAACCTCATGGTTCGGCAATGAATGGTCGTAAAATGTTTAAGTTTCACATACAACTGTTTTATAAAGACCTTTTCTTTATTAGCTTTAATTCATATATTCAAGATATGTTTAGAGTAGTCATACTATTATATTTTGATGCTGGGCTTTCAATGGCAAGAAATATTACCATAATCTGTTTATCTCTATTGGTGAATAATGTATTTGTGAAGCTAGTAGTGGAAAATGTTTGGTGAGAGAAAAGTAATAATGTAATGAGTGATGACTTAATCTGATGGTTCAGTAATTTTACAAAGCGTAATAAAGGCACGTAAGCTTGCTGTGTCTGTTGTGCATAATCAAAATCTCTTTTCGATACCTTATTTCATCTGGGACATGTGACATAATCTTTAGAAGCTTGAATGATTCATGTCTTTCAAAACATTCAAGCCATTCATCACATAGCCTTTTCAGAGAGTACATTCATCTTGAGTAATCAGTCATCTACATCAACCTAAATTTATTTAAGAAACCATTAATAAAATCGAGAGCAATCTTTAAAAAGTGTGAAGCTTTATCTATTGAAAACGACATGTCATTGAAAACTTTTTCTTCCACCCATTATCTCTTCAATGAAAAGTTAACCAGAATATGTATTCAGAATTTTTTAACGTTTGTTCAAGAGCAACTCAATTTTAATCTGGGATAACAAAGTGTAGAGCTGGATGAACACAGCAGGCCAAGCAGCATCAGAGGAGCAGGAAAGCTGATGTTTCAGGCCTAGGCCCTTCTTCAGAAATTTGGATTGGGTTTAACTGTGTCTTTTAAACTCCAAGAATACATAAGGGTAATATGCCATGTAGCATCTTGAGACTGTTTTGTCACTCAATTCCTGATCCGAACCTTAAGTCCATGGACATGCCATTTCCAATACATGAGAATACACTCAGCCAATCAAAGTCCTTTATTCACCAAACATTACCATTGACCCAGCATCCCCAACCTTTCAGGAAAGGAAATTCTGGATCTTTCCTTCCTTATGTGTGAAAAACTGCCCTTGGATTTCACTCCTGACCGACGAGGCTCTAATGTCACAATTATACTTTCTCATTCTGGATCTTCCCATAAGATGGAGTAGATACTGAGAAAACATTCTATGAAATCCTTTTTATCATTTTGAGTATGTCAATCAGATTGTTTCTGAATCAGCTAAACTTGAAGGATACAGTAGGTTTTATGCAACCTATCCTCACAACTTGACCCTAATATCATTCTGCTAAAACTTTGCTGCACTTCTCCTAAGGTCAAGTGTTTGGGTGATTCAAGGATTCAGCACATTATCATGGTCTCAAGAATAATTAGAGATGGACAATAAATAACAGACCTTCACAAATCGTGAGTTAATGTTTGCAAAAGCAGAACTTGGGGCTAAGATAGTCATTAATATATTCAATAAAGAATTCAGGAGAAACATCCTTTCCCAAGCAGTGGTTCATATGCAGAGCTCGTTACCATAAATAGTTGAGGTGAACAAGATAGATGGAATTAAGAGAAACAAACAGAAATTGCTGGAAAAGCTCAGCAGGTCTGGCAGCATCAGTGGAGAGAAATCAGAGTTAACATTTTGGGTTGAGTGACCCGTCCTCAGCACAGTTCAAAATCTCTGGATGTTGGCAAACTTACTGAGCTTTTCCAGCAATTTCTGTTTTTGTTTCTGATTTACAACATCCGCAGTTCTTTCAGTTTTTGTCAATTAGATTATTCTTGAATCAATGATGTTTGAGGGGATACATCTATAAACAATTGAACTCTTATTGTTAAGTAAGGGAAACGTTTTATTGAATTCAGATTACTGATTGCGCTTGAAGTTGGAAGTAGCATAGATGTCATTAAGGTAGACAAATCCCCAGGACCTGATGGAATCTGTCCCAGACTCCTAAGGGAGGGAAGGGAGGAAATTTCTGGGGCATTGTGTGAAATCTTTATATCCTCTTTAGTCACAGGAGAGGTCCCAGGTGACTGGAGAATAACCAGAATTCCTTTGTTTAAGAAGAGCAACAGGAATAATCAAGGAAATTCCAGGCTGTGAACCTTATATCAGTAGTAGAGAAATTAATAGAGAAGATAGAGATTAGAGGCAGTATATGCTCACATATGGAAAAGTTTGTGATAGGCAGCATGCTTTGTGAAGGGGAGGTCATGTCTCACAAAATTGGTTGAATTTTTTTGAGGAAGTGACAAAGGTGATTGATGAGGGCAGGGTGATTGATATTGTCTACATAGACTTTAGCAAGGTCTTTGA